AAGACCTGTAAGATAATCAATCATCAACACAATCGAAACGAAATAAATTTAAAGGGTAACATTGATAATTTAAATCATCAATAAATGGATATACTCGTATGCAAGGCTATTTTTATTTTTACTATAAAGTTCGGTAACTGGAACTTCTGAATTTCACATGAACAGCCTTTAATAGTCTACTGCTGGACATAGGCATCTCCTTAGAAAGGAAGCTTTGGCCTACTATACCACGCTGGCCAGACGGCTTGGTATAGGGTTTGTGTCAAGTTTTCCTTTCTTTGCAGTGCTGTTCTGTGTAGTTTCACCTTAGGGATGAATAGGGGTGGGGGCACTCTGTATTCTTAATCCGCCACCACGTGAACAACGGACAGAATAAGACGTCACAACTTACGCAATGAAATAGTTTCAGCTCACTAATTAGTTAATATAGTTTATGCCGTGGGAGAGCCATCAGCATACCTATGTGGGCCAGGCTTGACCAGAGTGATACCACGGCCACAGAGAAAATAGGGTAAAAGCAATTCTTACTCTACTTTTAATACTTTCAATTGAGTGATTGAGGTTACCGGATCCCAAACGCTCTATCCCTGATGTTGTCCCACCAACATCAGGGATAGAGTGGGCCTCCCGGGCATGAAAGAGAGGCAAAGCACTTGTGACTCCTGAATTGCAGGTGGTCCATCAGGTGACCAGTCAGCTCGTTTGAGCCTTCAGCCATAAAAAAAATGTACAATAAAATTAAAAATAAGATTAAAGATTTTTTAGGCGCTAAAAATGCCTTTCTGCTTCTTTTTGTTATTTTATTAGATACACAAATAGCATTAACATATTTTGTTTATGTTCACAATTGTATTCTAAACATACCAGTATTGCTAGTACTAAATTAAGTTGTTGATTATTTAAAGTGGCCAAAACATAATATTAAAACACCAAATCTTACCAAAGTATTCATTCAAATCACAGTAGTTTGAAAGTAGCAAGAGTCTTCTACAATACGAATTACTCGAAGTCTCAAGGAATTCAGTATCCAAAGGTAATGGATCATAGTTAACGTACGTAACCTTGTAGATAACCTAATAGATAAAAGTAGTCAACACACAAAAAATCTTATGAATGTGATAGACATTAGGACACATCTACACAAGATGCCACACAAAAGGTGGGTTATTACATACAAAGAGAAAAAGATATGTGTTCGTTCCATTTGGTTTGTCTGATCTAGGGGCGGCTCAATCGTTAAGCTTCACGATTGACATCGTAACACGTTTTTATACCCCATCAAATCGAGATATAAAACGTACGGTATTACCTGACGTACTGCAGTCATTTGTAGCTATAATTATGTACTACCAATGGTTGTTAAAATTCTTGAGCTTTATTATACACGCGTACTCTTTGTTATCTCTATTCTGTTGAATGAATATAACATTTAACGGAAATTTTATTCAGAAAGTTACAAATTAGAGTAGAAAACTGATTGATAAAACTAAAAATATTTTTTTAAAATAAAGAATTAGAATTTATGTTAAAATTTTTGCTATTCTATTTCAAAATTGCAAGTAAATATCTTCTTTTTTCATGTTCAATCAATTTTCATTATAATTTGAGTAAACACAAAAAAAATAAACTAGAAGAGGCTTAGATTTTTTATTATAAAGTAGAAGTACCCTTCCACGCTTCGCTGTGGCACTGACTATAATAATATACGAGTAGACACTGTTAATTTAGGTTTGAAGCGGTTTGAATATCGTGTCAAAATTGGCGCTCAATCGGTGCAGAACTTTTTGAGTTTCTGAAGTGTTCACAAATCAACTTATTTTAATATAAATATTTTTATGATTGAGGTTCAACTTGACTGCACGGATGGCGTAGTGGTTTAAGCGGTCGCCACGCCGCTTCCTACTGCGCCGAGTGTTGTGGGTTCAAACCCCACATGGGACGACACTTTGTGTGATCCACAAATTGTTGTTCTAAGTCTGGGTGTTCTTTGTGTCCGTTTCATGTATGTTTGTAAAGTCCCCCGCGACACAGGAATGTATTCCTAATGCGGGCGTTGTCTTAATAAAAAAAAAGATGAAAAGATTTTTATGATTGTTAAAATTATGGATATGACTGATGCTTTTTGTGAGGTGATTATTTTATGGAAAAGGGGACAAACGAGCAGACTGGTCACCTGATGGAAAGTCAGGTGACCAGTCTCAGGACTCAGGAGTCACAAGCGCGTTGCCGGCCTTTGAGGAAGGCAACGCTTTAAGCCTTTGGCAAGATGAATACTTATACATTATGAAACCATATAATACTGAACTTGCACATACCTCCGTTCAATTCGAATGTCCGGTAGATGATAAGCTATCTAAAGCTTTCGACATTAATATTCTATTTTCGTATCTGTCGGTATAGGTGACGTCAGTGAGTGGGTGTATCTGGTAACTTATTGATGTGAATGCTAGGTATATATATACACAACACCCAAAGGTTTGACTGGAAGAATATGCCTGAGGCATTAAATCAGCCTTATTCAATATGTTTGCAGGAAGGCTCAATAAATAAATAAACAAGAGAATGATAAATAGACAAAATATTTTCGAGCCACGTCTTACTTAATTTTACTCTAAATGTTAAAAATATTGAAACCAAATATTCAGAGACATTCCAGTCGTTTTATTTAAACTTTGTTTTTACTGGGATTGACATTACGAAGACATAATATATGTATGTACCCATATATTAAGTGTATATTATAGTCACATGCTCAGTGTACATATCTATGGACATTACTGGAGATTTAAAATTGTCTAAAAAATTCACGTTCGTTTGTAAGTAACAGGACCTTAAAACACGTAGCCGAGCTCTAAATTTCGAGTACCCGAGACGGCGACATCTCACCGGTTAACAAAAGCTGTGAAAATCCCGGCATATTTCCGAGTTGTTTAACAGAAATAATACGGTCTAAACTGGCTGGAATAAAAGTCGTACGGAAATTTTACGACTTAGCCGGTTTCTGTTCTTTAAATTTTCAGTGATGAATGGATAGGACTCGGGTTGTTTTGGTTTTATATGTTCTGGTGGTGTATTGCTTGTAGCTGTGATTACTATTTCTCAAATATATTTTTTGTAAGAATTATATTTTATGTTGTACATATATAATAAATTTTACAGTTTTTAATTTGTTATATGAACCTATTTAATTAATAGTATACTTAACTCATGTATAATAATCATAATATAGCCACGTTTCATTTTACATGCGCGTTGTTGCCCTTTGTGTGTCTAAGTAGGGGTTTGGGCTCTGTTTGCTTAACACCAGTTTTCTGAAAGGCTGTGGCATCACTCCGGTCGAGGCGGCCGGTGTTGTACCTAAAGAGTACCCGAATTGATTGCCAAAATACACAGTATCAGAAATAGTATAACATTTAAACGTTATTTAAGACTAATGATGTTACGTGTACCTACAGATTATAATAGAACATGAATTTCAGAAGGTATAATTGATACAAGATACCTTGTGCTTTTGAAGTTGGTTACAATATAAATTACGAGAGTATAATTTGGTTGTTGAAACTATAAAGTAAACTAGTGTAAATATCTATTGTATTTATACACCACAAAACAATATTAAATTTTACTAAATAGGCGCACGAATGCATGTCATATTCGAAATTCAAATAGTTAGTAAATTTAAACAGAAATAATCAAACTATAGGTAGTTATACATAGCCAACCCTTACCTCGTACCATTACAATAAACTAAGGGACATCATGCCACCCAGTAATTACTGAGAATTCATCATCTCATGTTTTTAATGGTTAATTCACATAAAATTAATGATGACCAAATCAATTAAGACTTGATCCCTAAGTATGTCTGAAACCATTAGACTAATGTCATTCGCTGAATAAGCGCATGTGTGAGGTACTGTACACCATGCACACATGCACCCAATTATTAGTATATAAGCCAATGTTCCTTAAACCAAAATGTTCTTGAATCAAACAAGCTCATGCTGAGCACACGTGTACTGTCAAAATAAATATATTTTTATATGAACTAGACTGCGTTCATATTTGACTGGCGCAGCCGGGTCGGATTAGTAGTCGCGAATAGTGATCGTAAAAAACACAAGAATCGGTCGTTTACGTTATCCTAGACGCATAGACACTAACTCCGTCGAACCTATCAAACAAATAAGTCAACTGAACGACACGCGTCCTGCATCAAGCTATTCAAGAAACGGCATGGGATCGAGCAGATTGTGAGTAGACCCTTATTCGCATTTCCTTAAACCCTTGTCTATTTTATTTATATCTAATTGGACTAAAATCGCCATTTAGACGTATGTGTATTTTACTCAAACTTCAGTAGATTACACAGTTTTAGCTATTAAGTCACGTAATTCGAACAAAAATCGTCGTTTACGTAATTATTTTTTACCCTAAAAGTTATAATCATTGTAATCAAAATGAGTCAAATTCAATTAATACCCAAAGAAATTTAGAGCATCATTCCTAGATACGATGGAGATGATAAGTTACTCAATTTATTTATTTCAAAATGTGAATATGTAATTAAAAGTTTCCGTGGGGACAATAACCCAACTCAACAAGCTTACCTCTACCATTGTGTAACCAGTAGGTTAGTAAGAAAAGCTGCTATCTTAGTAAGTGAACGAGGAAATATTAAAACTTTCGAAGAATTAAAAGAAGTATTTGTCCAACACTTTGGAGACCCTAGATCTGAAGCATACATTAGCATATAGTTAGACAACCTTAAGATAAAACATGGGGAGTCGTATATAGATTTCTGTCATAGAATACAGAATGTTAAGAGCTCTCTCATTTCTAAAGTAAATATTTTAACGGACGAAGGAATTAAAGCCGCTAAATATATTATATATAATAATGCCGCACTAAATGTATTCTTATATAATTTACCCGAGGATTTGATAAAGTTTGTCAGACTAAATAAATGTACAACGCTAGAATCAGCACTTAGTGTAGTTATGGAAGAAGTTAATTTCCAAACTAGATATAACTCAAAAAATAAAATAAAGCCAAACTTTAATCATAATAATCAAAATTTATCGCACAAACCAACACAACAACACCTAAGTTTTACAACACCTATTCAATATAAGTTTTCTATTCCACAGAATAATCAAATATTTAAACCAACATTTAAACCTAATTTTGTACCTAATATTAATAACAATAGATTTAACCAACAGCCACAAGGTTTTAGACCAAATCTACATCAACCATTTAAGCCTAACTTTAATAGACCCTTTAATGGTCCACCACAACAATTTCCACGTGCTTTAAATAATTATAAGCAGTCAGGATTCTTTAAACCAAATCCTAACCAGCAATTTAGATTTGGGATTAATACCAATCAACAGCATAAACCGCATTCTACATCACATACAGACGTAACAATGCGTACCGTACAAAATAATATGCTAAATGAACAAGAAGCTGACTATGAATTCGGACAAGACTATGACGATACGGTTATAGACGAATTTAATATGGAGGAAGATACACAATATACTAACGAATACAGTAGTGAAGAAATAGACGCAAATATTCAAATAGAAGCCTCTCCAACACCCCAACCGAAATAATAAAACTCAATTATAACGGTCTTAAATTACCTCATATATGTTTACCTGAAATACAGTCAATATTTTTAATTGATACGGGTAGTACACGTTCGTTTATAAATTTAGAATTAGCAAACAGATATTTTAAGAAATATATTAGTTCAGAGCCATTCGAAGTCTAGCACTCATGGTCGCAGTAAACATGACCAAATCGCAAATATCCCCCTACCAAAAACGTTCAAAGAAAATTTCCAACACAAGTTTTATATTTACAACGTGGATAACACATACAATGGTCTTATTGGATCAGATCTACTAACAAAATTAGAAGCCAATGTAGATATGAAAAATTCAATTTTAAGAACAAGAACGACGAATATCCCTATTCTATATAACCCCTCTCACCAAATAGTAATACCCCCTAGGTCAGAAAAACGTGTAAAGGTACCTACCTCTTTACAAAATGGTAACGCAATATTAAATTACACCGAGTTTTGCTCAGGAGTACGTATGCCTGACGCTATGGTAAACTGCATAAATTCATTCGCTCAAACCGTGATTCAAAATACAACAGATAGTGAAATGAAAATAACATTCACGAGACCCTTTAAGGTATCTAAACTAGATTTACCTACAAAAACTAATAACTGTAATAACATAAATTCTATCCCTAATTTAGAACAAGTATTAGAAGACAACTTACATAAGTTGCGACTAGACCACTTAAACTTAGAAGAAAAATCCTTAATCACAAATTTATGCCTAGAGTACAAGGACATATTCTATTGCGAACATGTTCCCTTGTCATTTACAAACCAAGTTAAACACAAAATTCGCACAAATAACGAAGACCCTATATATATACGTCCATACAGACACCCCATCAGCCAAAATGAGGAAATACAAAAACAAGTCAATAAGTTATTAGAAAACAAAGTTATCACCGAGTCGAACTATTAACTAACGCACCTTTGCTACAATACCCAGACTTTGATAAGCCCTTTTTGTTAACAACAGACGCATCTAACTTGGCGTTAGGAGCAGTCCTGTCACAAGGTCCTATAGGTAGCGACAAACCTATAGCATTTGCTAGCCGAACACTTAACGATGCAGAAACACGTTACAGTGCTATCGAAAAAGAACTACTAGCAGTAGTATGCCGTATAGATAGGGTCTGAAATGCTTTTTCAGACCCTATCTATACGGCAAAAAATTCACAATACTTAGTGATCATAAACCATTAGTATGGCTAAATTCTATTAAAGAACCTGGAAGTAGATTAACCAGATGGAGACTTAGACTGTCCGAGTACGACTACGATATAAAACACAAACCAGGAAAACAAAACTGTAATGCCGATGCATTATCGAGAATAAGAATTAACGCATTAGACGACATATCTATAATAGTCAATACGGGTAAACAAACTAGCCCACAGTGCATAGAGATCTCATCTGACGAAGACACCTTAACTACGATACCTAGATCTAAATCCCCCTACTCAATACCTTCGGTAGGAAGTGAAACACTCACAGCTTCCGAAAGAGTTGACTCATCCTCTATAGCATCAATTCACTCAGATGTGAACACCGATACATCAGGAATTCCCATATTAAAAGAAGCAATTGACACAAAGCCAAACCAAATACTTATATACACATGGTTCAAAAACGAATTAAGCGTAAAAGATTTATCTAGAGACAAGCAGAAGGTTTATGAAGTACACATGCCTCTAAACAATCCGGAAATAATTAAAACATATTTAAAAGAATACATCAAACCGAAAATAAAATACTTTATCTATTTCGAAGACATACGTCACCGAGAACAATTTGCAAATATTATAACTACATTGTTTAAAAAGGACACTATTAAAATATTCGAATGTACCGAACGGGTAATATACGTAGAAGATGAAAATGAACAGAGAGAAATCGTCCTTAAATATCATATTGGAAAAACTTGCCATCGTGGTATCAAGGAAACAACAGCCCACTTAAAACGCACATATTATTGGAACAACTTAGAACAGACAGTAGCCAGTATTATTAATTCTTGTGAAGTCTGTAAACAAATGAAATACGACAGAAAACCAATAAAACCAGAACTACAGTTAACACAAACTCAAACTAAACCATTTCAGGAAATATTCATGGACATATTTTCTATAGAAGGAACTTATTTCCTTACCATTATAGACGCATTCAGTAAGCTAGGACAAGCTTTACAAATACCTAATAGATCCACACCCGAAGTAGTTAGGGCACTAATAAAATACTTTTCGCTATACGGTGTACCGTCACGTATTAGTGCAGATCCAGGAACAGAGTTTAACAACAATTTATTAAAAGAAATGTTAACATTCTATTAGAGCGATTTACACATCAGTACACCTCATAACCCAAATTCTATGGGATTAATAGAACGATTCCATTCAACCATAATAGAAATATACAGATTAGCTAAATACGAAAGGAAAATAACAGATGCTGTAACTGTTATGACTTATGCTATTATGTCTTACAATCAGTCCATACACTCAACAACCGGTTTAACACCTTTTGAGGTAGTATTTGGACATACAGACGCTTCGAGTATTTTTGCAACAGATTTCAATAGAAATTACACCCAACAATTAGTTAGTGACCACGTTAAACGCACTAAGTACCTATATAATTATCTAACTAACAAAATGTTACAAACGAAAGAAAAAATTAAAGAAAAACGCGGTGGAGAAAAGCAATTTGATATAAAATTAGGTGACAACGTTTACGTCAAAGGAGTAAACACTAGGCGAAGTAAAGACAAACCCAGATATCAAAAAGCAAAAATTATAGAAGAACCCAATAGAAATATTGTTATGATAGAAACCCCAATGAATAAAATAAAAAGGGTACCCGCTAAAGATATTAAACGTCCTTCACAGGTTCGTCCTGGTGATGGCAACTCAGGCAGTCCTAAGCCTGGCCCTTCAACTACAAAGGATTAAAGATAATCCAGGAGTTCTCCCTGTACGGGAAGGTCAAGCATCCTTAAGCCTCTATAACTGGCATATTATTAAGATATTAGACTTAGATTTGATTAATAGGAATTTAGATTATAACATAGGAAAATATTTAGAGATAGCTAGTTACATGAAAGATAAAATAGATATGTACACGTTAGATGGTAGCCTTGTCGATGCTGAGTTACAAACTCAATACATTATGAATATAACTATACAGAGATATAACCAATTAATTCCAAGTAATATAATCAAACGAGGACTTATCAACCCCGCAGGATCTATTATAAAAGCAATTACTGGAAATATGGATAATGAAGATGCAATTAGATATGATAACTTGATCAATAATATACAATCGAAACAAAATGTAATGTCTAGTAAAATAACCTTAATTTCCGAAATGGTTGATACTTTTGTAAACATTACCAATTCTACTAGAAATAACTTTATAATTTTAGAAAAGACCATTAAGGAAATAGAAGAAATTTTAAACAAAACTCAATTCCAAAGAATTAAGAACTTGGTATTAAATACCTATAATTTGTTAACACATAACTTTCAAGTATTATTAACCCGCTTGGATGAAGTGGATACAGCAGTCTCGTTTAGTAGAGTAAATATATTACATCAGTCTATATTAGACACCAACGAATTATTTAAAATCCTAAAGGACATAGAGAAAACGGATAGGTTAGCATTTCCTGTTACAATAACGAACTTAGTTAATATAGAACATTGCATAGACATCAAAGCTTATGTAAAGGGTAAACAAATAACTTTTATTATGACAGTACCAACAGTCCAATTAGATGTCTATAATTATTATACCCTACATCCATTTCCAATGTACAATCCTAACCTTAACCTATCATTCCTTATAACTCCTAAACATTCCCACATCCTTGCGAAAGGGTTGAAATTAGTATCGCTCTCCCAGACTTGCAGAGAGATTGACGAAGGAAAGTTCCTTTGTTACGAGAGCAACGTGTCCTTCGAGGAAGAAACTACTTGCATCAAGGACCTGATGACGTTCTCTGCTAAGATAATGTCTTGTCGCCCCCTTCCTGTCAACGCATCAGACATTAAAATAAAATACATACAGCCAAATTCTTGGCTCATTTACGCAGGTTTCAGTACATTCCTGACAGAGGACTGTGACAGCGAGACAAGCCAACGCAGCGTCATGGGCACTTACATTATTACCCTAGATAACGCTTGTGAAGTAAAACTAGGAAAAATAACTTTAAGACAACGTCGCCTTCAAGCAGCAGAGATGGACTTTCGAAGCACACCAACGATACATCTACCAAGCATCATAGCACCAGAGGACATCAAGTTACGCTCAACTATCAACTTAGACGAAATCGACCTGGAAAATTTACAGATCTTATCTCACGCATTAAAGGACAGCAGTGCAGTGATTAGTAACAGTGACAATCAAGTTGTGAATTTACATAGTGTTAGCATAGGCACCATTGTACTCTATTTAATTTTAACATTAATATTAAGTATAACTTTGTACCGTTACAGACATACTATGATTAAACGATTCAATCAAAATCAACACCCTCAAAACTCGGATGATGATTTTGCACTTACGGAGGGAGGAGTTATACATAGCCAACCCTTACCTCGTACCATTACAATAAACTAAGGGACATCATGCCACCCAGTAATTACTGAGAATTCATCATCTCATGTTTTTAATGGTTAATTCACATAAAATTAATGATGACCAAATCAATTAAGACTTGATCCCTAAGTATGTCTGAAACCATTAGACTAATGTCATTCGCTGAATAAGCGCATGTGTGAGGTACTGTACACCATGCACACATGCACCCAATTATTAGTATATAAGCCAATGGGCTTATATACTAATAATTGGGTGCATGCAAGGAACATTTTCCTTAAACCAAAATGTTCTTGAATCAAACAAGCTCATGCTGAGCACACGTGTACTGTCAAAATAAATATATTTTTATATGAACTAGACTGCGTTCATATTTGACTAGGTACATAAAACAGTTTCATAAACATTAATCAGTTTCATACCAACTTTTCAATGAAATAAACCAAGATATGCAAAACACTTGAAATTCGACCACCAAGTATCTCAAATAATAATTAATACAAAAACTTCAATTTGTATTACAAAGACAAAACAACAATAACAGATATACTGAAGGAATCATGGTTTGGACGCCTGTAAACTAAGTAACATCTTTCAATATCAGTATTGAAATCAAATACTCAAGAACTTAATCTAAGTTTGAAAAGTTTCTCCAATTTTGCAAGATCTGGGTTTTGAACTTGCAATAATACAAAAAGAAAAAAAAAAGTTAAACCTAGTTTGGTTTTAACACGGTCGGTTATCGTGGTGACTAGTAACCTATGTCCCTCCTCAAAAATGAAAGTATCTCCTTGCCGAATTTCATTAAAATCAATTCAGCTGTTTAGCCGTGAACGCGTAACAGATAGACGCATAGAGATATTGGTAGGGATTATTCTGAACCAGACATATTTTTTTGTTTTTTTTTGCACACACAATGCATCCTTTACCCGACATAAGGCTTTATTCCCTGCAGTTTTCCCACTCGGCCCTGACACCACAGAACATTAGTTTTCATTTAAACGCCTAGTCGGACGTTTTATTTTTATAGCTTCCTTCTATTTTAGCTTGAAAACTATATTTATTTTGTGAATCTTATTCGAACATAAAGGTCTTCTCAAATATTCAAAATGTTCTCTTGCTTTTAAATTTAAATACTCTTATTATTATGTTATTCTTGTATTGCGGGGATTCTATAAAGCTGTTCAATTTACGGACACTAAACCCTAATGTTTTTTATACTTTTTGTAAAAAGTTTTTAATACTTACAGACAATATACTTACAACTTTGGCGGTTATTATCAGCAGAAAAAAATACGACCGTGTTGTTGGGGATGTGTCGGGGAGATAAATGATACGACCGTGTCGATTGTAATGAGATTTATTACTACCGTATGTTTCATTGTTAGATAATCTGTATTTACACAGGCTATAAAACAGGTTATTACACAGGCTATACACACTAGACATTTGTAGTTCAAAATTTTGTAATTTCATGACATTTGAAGTAGAAAAATCAAAATTATCATTGCAATATTAACATCATTATCACCAACTTTAACAACTTTAGTATTCCACTCCTGGACATGGGATTTTGAAAGAAGGAGGAGGAGGAGGAGGAGGTTATATTATTTCTATTATATTAAAAAAAACTGACTAACCTTCACTTGAACTTATGATATTTACTACTAAATTATTAAAGGTATTCCCGGTTTTCCTCTGATATTCTACTTTTTTTTTTAATAAATGAATATTTGAACTAAATTGATATCAGATGTTAAGTTGTGAAGCATTTAGACTGGCGAAATAGAAACTACATATACAATATCTATTAAGGATAACCTACTAGACAGTTCCTGCGAAGTTCACTTCACACCAGCCAAAAAGGTCTCGCATCGACGAGTCGCGCATCCCCGAAAGACACGTGACTATGACCATGACTATGTAAAAGTCAAACTTTGGCAAAGTACTTGTTTCACAGCACTGTTCGAAAATCATGCTCACCTAAAAAGCCTACATACCTAAATGGATTATTCACTCCTAGTAATTTTGCGTAGTCCATTATATGAAATAAAAGTCGATTAAACTGAAAGGGAATAAGCGTGCCAACCATGATTTCATATATTTAGTTAAGGAATACCTATCACTTTTACTGGCTAATGCCGACAGGTCCAGGCCCTGTAATTATCATTGTTATTATTTTGAAATACTTATTTTTTGTAAATAAGAATATAATTAATTTTAATATACAAATTTATTAATCAATCAATCAATCATTTATTTCGTAAAACACAGGTAAATTCAGATGTTACAAACCATAAATTATGTTAAAATAATTATACAATGATAATATTTTCGGACATCTGACACAACGCCATCTAGTTTCAAACTAAACAGAGCTTGTACTGTGAAAGCTAGACTTACCAATAGAATACTAAACAATCCAAACTATTTTATACCCTACTTATACCATTGCCGTAGAATACTAAACAACTATTTTGTTTGGTAATATGTATAAAATAAATACATATAATAAGCGCGAAGTTAATTTTGTCAATTTTCCTTAAGGTTTCAGCTTCTGATAGAATGTAATTGAATTTGACAGGAACATCCAAGTACTCCGAAATATTCTTTTCATATCATAACGTCTATTATTAAAATTCACGAAATATATTAAAGTGGTAAATGCGATGTGTTTGTTTGCCGATTTTTATACGTTCGAAGAATCAAATGCTCGATGGGTTCTCGGTCTGAAAAACGATATTCCAATTTTCAATTCTTCGAATAAACTGCTAAAATAAAGATTCTGATTCAGTTAGTATAATATTCAGTTACGCGTTATTATTGAAAAGCTATAATTAACATATAATGTAATTTTAAAAACGTCTACTTTGTTACTGACATTTGTGTATTTATTTATTGTGTATTTATTATATTTTGCAAAGCGTCTAGAAATAAAGTTCAGAATATGTGGTTTAAAGATTGAAGAAAAGCAAAAAACACGTTGTATAATAAACTTGAAGTAATCATAAACTTTGTAGGTAGCTCTCAAAAGTATTCTTAGAATAACAATATTGTTTGCCTAAGTTTCAACAGAGACGGGTTTATTCGACACAGCTAATTTAATAAAGAACCTGATCAAACTGAAACTGATTGTTGGTTTAATAAAACGTCAGAAACAACAAACGGAGGCGCGGTTCTAAATATAATTGAATGATGTTATTTAACAAACTCGTATCACGATGTTACTATACAATTGCGTGAATATTATACTTTATAGAGCTAACTCATTTCTTGATGTAGTGCTATCTAGTCTGCCAACTGGGAATAAATACTATTCATCTCCATCACTAAAACTTCAAACTTCAGCTTTAAAAATGTATTTGCTATCTGATTTGAATTATTTAAACCAAAAGCATTTTTAGACTTTGGAAATAAATATTCTAAGTATAATTCTACTAAAGAATATAAGCCAGTAATCGCAAAAAATACTTTATATGATATAAAAAGTTAATGATATTTGATTTTTTTCCTTCACCAATGCCGTCATCTTTAGTTTTACGAGTTTGACGGACGGACAACAATGTGATTGTATAAGGGTTCCTTTTTCGATTTTCCAAAGTTGATGTTAAGCAGTGAGAACAGCTTCGTTGTATTTTTCCTTTCCTCAGTTACCGTTCTTGTTAGAGTCTGTTCAACTTAAAACAGCAAGGTCTAGATCTTTACTTGCTGTTAGTACATAATTTATGCAGATCTAACTTTTCTTTGCTTCAAAGCTATAAACTATCTCATTTACATACTTCACTGTACTTAATTAAATCAGTTGCCAAAATATAATCTTGAGGTATTAAAGTGTACAAAGCTTCTGACCCGGCCGGTTCATCAAAATACCTTCAAATACCTTTAGTATGATCACAGGTATGCTAATCTCGTTACCTATATTGAATATATGTGGCAGGGTTTGTGTGTTGAAAACACTATTAACAAGGTTACACGGAAAGATATTAACACATTTTGGGGGACGTATACGAGTACGTCTTAAAAGTCTCAAAAATTTGAGTCAAATTAGTTTTATTTTTTGACATTGAATACCAAATAAACAAGGAAATTTAAAACACGTTGTTCAAAAATCTGCTTCTGCCAAGGGAAAGCATCTTTCAATAACTTTTTTTGGTCAATTCTTACTCAATTGTTGATTATGTGTAATGATCCTTTCGGGGCACCAGGGAATTCCTTTCTAGGGTACACCTGGTTTCCCGACTACTGGTACCGGAGGTGGCGTGCGGTTTTAGTCGGTTCGACATTGCCACCGGTAAGTGGTATCCGAGGGGATTTCCGCACCCACGCCCTTTTGGGAGCACAAAGGGAGCATGGGGGTTCCCACATGGGAGGGGGTCATCTACACGCCGTGGATGGCCCGGGGTACGTCGTAATTATTATAATTAATAGCATGGGTTGATAAAAACAGTAAACAAAATCGAATGTTTTAGAGACTCGCAATGTGGCATGGAGATAATTCGTGCCACAGAAACAAAATTAAACGTGTGCCGCTTTTGATTGAGAATGCTTTATCGAGAATTTTGGAGGAAATAAGACTTATAATAAGCCTTTTTCTCGCTGTTAAACACTACATTGACTTTTTTGTATATTAATAATAATAAGAGTGAAGCGCTTTGTGAAACAAGCATTCTTTTCTTCATTCTTATCTCTCGATATGTGGAATGTGGATTCGGCGATCATTGATAGCCAAGAGCCTCGAGCAACACCTAAAGAGAACAAGGGTCTGATGCAGAAGGCAGTTCTCCTTGATACGGCCCGTATAGTAAGGAGGTTCTGGTCTTTGGAGTCCTAACCACCGATGTCTTGGTCCCTGTACCCAATATTTGGTAGGTCTGAGAATAGGTCATAAGCTATTTTTTGTACCTCTAGGTAGTAAGGGTGACCCTCCATAGTATCTTTTTTTTATTGTAAATATGTCAGGTAAGTTAATAAAGTACATTAAATTAAGAAAATGAATGATTGGTGTTTTGTTACTTTTACAGGCCGTCATCGGTCACAGCGCTCCATGCCTCTTTCAGTCATAGATCCTATCCCTACACACTCGCAATAAGTTAGTTATTTTTTATTTAACTTCTAAAATATTCACTCGAGATAATTTATATGGCAAACAACGTTTGCTGGGTCAGTAGTAAAACTATAATAAAACCTGAGAGCCTTGTGTTCGTATTGGCGAGGGTTAGAAAAATGCGCGCTCAAAGTCCGTTATCTAAACATGACCCTACGATGATCAAGCTTTTAAAATTGCAAAATAATATCTCAGTAGATGCTGCCTTCTACTTTATATGAAATCTCCTTGGGCTATTAAGTACAAAAATATATTTTTTCAAACACAACTTGTACTCTTAGCGACTAGCATATGAAATTCAACAAAAAACCACACAGTCGTTAAAATATTTTATTGTAACTGTATACATCTAACAATCATATTTATTAAAGCATACAGTACCTATTGATCAGATATCGTCAGAAGTAATGTTTTTTTTTGTAAACCAGTTAAAACTTTAAAAAATATGTAAAGGTAAATAAATTTTTCGTGTTCCCTCGGCGAAGATAGAGCGCAGAATAAATGCAAACTGTGGGTACTCCCCTTTTTTTACTATTCGGTTTACAAAATAATATTACATAATACTTAAAGTTTATACAATTAAGAAAAAGATCAGAAAAACAAATAAAAATACTTCGTTTAAGTTTCAAAGGCAAGCAGACAGCCCGGGTTTAAGTTCCGGTTAACAGCAACTTATTAATTACTTTAGATACACGATGTTAGTGAACTCTAAGATCTCGAAGTTTGGTTATAATCTTGGGGTCACGTGTGACCCCGATGTATGATGAATGTGTTCCAGACTGATGGAAGTCTAATTTATAGGTTACATTGACTTTGATTACGTGAACTTGATTTTAGGTGAGTTGTTTGGTTGAAGTCTAATTTATTTGGATATTATTATATCCAACTAAATTTTTTATGTGTTTATTTTATGTGTTTATTAGTGATAGTTGTGATAGCAAAAAAAGACAAGACAATTACAATTAATTAACCTGTATGAAAGTAAAAAGGAGATAAATAAATTTTAAATAAAATAAGATGATTGTAAAATAATTTTCTATCTGGTAATTTAAAAAGAGTGGCCATAAGTTTGTTTCTGTAAATATATATTTTTCCAACTTTTTTTTTAAATTTATTGACCCATAATGTACATGTACGTAGATGACCGAGCTTTGCTCGGTATTTTTTTAGTACATTTCCTAAAAATAAAACCTAGCTAGAACAATTAATCGCCCCCGGATCCCCCTGCATACTAAATTTTATGAAAATTGTTAGAGCCGTTTCCGAGATTCAGATAATATATGACGAAAGACCGAGGTATGGGTTGTTTTTGAAAAGAGTGACGTTAGTAAAGCTGACGTAAATACAGTTAAAAATGTATTCCAAAGTCTTACCAACAGTTGTACATAGATAAGTACAGCCCGATTTTTATACTAAACGTCAATCCACGTGGTATTTCAGGTTAAGTATTGAATTATGATAACTATTAATAAATTCGTCCTAAATATACTGTCATTTCATGAATTAAGTGATCATTAAATTACGCGAATAAATTAACTAAGTATCACCGTATTGTTCCAAAACCTCGTTTGTAAAAAAAAGACTCGTTTGTAATTCTCGAAGACTCGTCTTTCCCTATTCTCCAAAATTATTAACATCTACCCACGACACACGCCTTTGTGATATTACTGTAGTAAAACGTTACCCCTGTTTATTGCGAATACACGACCCGATGCACAGCAAATCCCGAATAAGACGATGATTGCATCAATACTGCAAGCAACTCCGCATATGAGTAAATATATAATTATAATTAAAAAAGACTCATCGTTTTTGATTCTCGAAGACTCGTCGCTTTCAAACCTCGAAGAGGCGAGAACGACCGACCGTTTTTATAGGACGAATTGCTCGCGCACGTGTTTACAGGTATTGGTTAGGTGATGTATTTTCTTGGTGTTTTTAGATAATATGATTCTTCAGGTTATTTTTAACACTAAGAATTCCAAGTAATTAAAATCATCATCAATTATAATCTAATTTAAATTAATCAAATTAGATTTATAAAGTAAGGTGGTTATAGTTACCGACCGCTACGGCCATACTGACAGACGGTGTGCACTCTTTTTGTTTTACGTGTGGAAACCCGTAGTGGTGTGTCGGAATCGGACCGACTAAAACCACACCTCGTAGGTTCTCGAAGAGTCTCGGAGGATGTCATAAGATATCTCGTAGGCTTAAGATTCTCGTCGAGCTATTAGAAATAATTAAATTTGAGTAACTTGCCGTTTACTCTAATGAGCTATCTTTACCCAGTAAGTTGCGAGTTGATTATGTTTCTCGAGAAGTTGATGGAATGGTCTCTAAATGGTGCATAGGGTTAAATTTTGTATCCTAAATAATCATTTTGCTCACAATATTATTGTATTTCTCCCTCATGCGAGTTTTTTGGATGGCCCCGATTCTGTTGAGGTACAGAATCAACAAACGTGACCCATACTATTGCATTGAAAAGAGAGACAAGGGGACGCTATTTCTCTGAAATTGTACACAAATGCAACGGAGGATATAGTTTACGGAGGATATAGGACAATAGTACTGTAAAGTGAATTTATAGAGGCTGCTTGGCACACCACTAAATCCCCTTAAAATGGAGAGACGTCAAACTAGGCTTTATCACTAAACCTGGCACAGGTGTCTTCACAAAGCAAAGATCACACCCACCTATCAGTCTGACAACCTACCTATCAAAGGTTCTTGACAGGCTAATAGATAGGGAAACCAGAAGCACTGCGTTAGTCAGTCACCCTTACATCACAACCAACACATACTCGAAAGTCAACATAATCAGCTTTACATCGAGTACTATCACATATGGATGGCAATATAAAACACAAAAGATCAACACTAGGCACCTATATCGATATCCAAGGTGCCTTTAATAAAACAAATTTCACCAGCATTAGCTAAGCTCTGTCCAGACATGGTGTTGATTCCACAATCTCAGGGTGGATCGAAAGCATGCCAAAATTCAATTTACTGTGAGCGAAGTGACTACGAGGGTGGTGGCTAGAGGGTGCCCACAGGGCGGTATACTCTTCCCTCTTCTGTGGAACATTATTGTGGGTGAACTAAGCACACAACTCAATGACCGTAGATTCCTCACAATCCGTCCATTAGGTCCCCATTGAGAACGTTATATGCTATCAAATGAGACTCACACTGAAGATCGTTGAACAGTAATGTATGACACACAAGGTGTGTGAACCTATGGAAAACAGAGATGATCATGTTCACAAACAAACCTAGTCTAGGAAATATCAAGCTTCTTAAACAATTTCAAACCCAACTGGCTTTTACCAAAGAGGTCAAATACCCAGGTACTAAACAGTAATTAATTCCTGTGGAATAGGCACCTCAAAAAGAAACTAAACAATGCCTGCACTGTCTTCTGCCAATGCTAATATATAGCTAATGCAAAAGCTGGGGACTATCACCAAAGATTAAACTATGGCTCTACAAAACAGTCATACGACCAATAATCACGTACAGTACCGTTGTATGGTGGCAGGAGACATAGCTAAGCACCGTCATAAATAGATTACAGCAATTCCAGCGACTCCCATGCTCTGCGGTTACTGTTTGTATGCACACAACGACTCATTCCGCCGGATCAATTAGCCGAATTCGCCAGTTCTTGTGGATATTTTGCTACCCTTATACTTATGTTTATTAGTTTAACTATAATATTCGCAATCTTATCGCCTAACATTTTTACATCAATGCATCGAATTCCATCGTTACCAGTCGATTTGTTTATGTGTAATTTTTGTATAATAGTTAAAATATCTCTTTTAGTAGGTTTTTTGAATAACATAGATTTGTTTTCGGTAAATACGTAATCTGACTCAGGGATAAGGTTTATGTTATATAATAAAAAATTACCGACATGTAGTTGATAAAAAAATATTGACTTTTGCCAGAATTCGTTACCGAAATTGTGTTTCCTTTCATGCTGCTCCTATCCAATGGTTGTCGTTATCCAAAAGTTATCTGAATCATTCCTTCTTTACCATTCCTGCCTGTTATTCCCTTAACTTTTGTGATTTGAATTTTCTCCACTTTTAATTTCGAAGCTAGGTTGCTTGCAAGTGTCTCTATATTCTCGTTCTTATCCACGGGAGTTCCTGCAATTTCTAGAACGTTATCCAGTTATTTTTGTTCAATATTCTGTTGTTCCATAACATTTATTTTCAGTTCCAGGTCTTTATTATGGTTGGTTAGGTATACATTTTTATTTTCTAGCTAGCTTGCAACCTTTTTTGCATTCAAGTCCTGGTGACTTTTTTGCTAAAATTTTATCACAATTAGAACACTTCATTTTTTTTGGGAGATGTGAGGGTAAATGTTACTAACTTCTTAAAGTACGAAATCGGTTCGACTGCGCCGTGCGAAAGCTCGCGACCGATTGATTTTTTTAAATGTATGTCTTTATTTAACTATTTAAAATAAATTTGCTTACCTACCTTTTTAAAACCTAACGTCGAACTAAGTTGTGACATTTATTAACTCTCTGAAACTGTTTCCCTAAATTCAAACAGTAAAATATGCTCAGATTCGGTTCATACAATAAATCTATCAACACAGTATCTGATAGTTGGTTAAGACGAAGTTTGCTTTTGAACTGATAAATTATTACGATTTTGAGTTACGCACCCCTTGTCAGGGTTACGTTGGTTATAACTTATAGCCAGCCGAGGTTAAAAGACAAGATAATAACACCCTTACCTTGGCTAGGGTTGGCAGGTTTCTGCTCGAGAGAAAGGGATAACGACTTATTTGGGATTTGTAGGGTGAGAGCGTTTGTAATGTAGGTGAGAATTTTAGGATCACTAGGCCTAACACTGAGCCGTGTATCCATTACGCAAGGTTTGCGTTTTGATACTGAGAAAGGCTTGGTTGAACTTTAAAATAATTATACATAGGTTGTGGTACAGTACAGGATCGTTAAGGTTGCTTGAAAGAGGTTGATTTGAGAGATAATGTCAACTTTTTTAGATTATTTCTGTTGTAAATTTTAAGTTTTATGTAAAATCTCTTGTGTACAAATAAAGTATTACTGATATAACCAAAATATTAATTCAGTACAAAATGTAATGAAATCATATTTTTGTAAAAGGGGAAATTTAAGGAAATGTTCTTAAATTTCCCCTTTCACACATAATTTATTATTTAAATTAGAATCGATACTATAAAAATAGCAAACTGTACAGATTTAGACTCTAATTCTGGAACTTAGAGTGTAAAAAGTTTCAAAAGCCACTAACGAATGTGTTGCAACAATGAAAATAACACTACCTCTTAAACTTTCATATTCCATATTGTATACTAATTCGAGAATCAAAGAGAATAATTGGTATTACCACCTTTGAATAGCCTGACGTTTCGACCAAGTTGCACAGGCACAGGCTGATTGACTCAATAGTGGGTTACGAGCGAGAGCATGGACTGTTTAATTAATAATTACAAAATGTAATGAATTCTAAATATTGTCTAGCAAAATACAAAGTGAGCTGATCAGGTGAGCTAACGAATGCTTGGCTGAGTTTAGCAGTTCATTTCTATCATAAATCTTACAATTTGAATTAATCGCAGCCCTAGGTACTGCCTGCACGGCTATCCCTCTTTAGCATATAAATAATAGTGGACCAAAAAGGGTCTAGGACCGTGAATTGTTGACGCTCTAGTATATTATTGAGATCGTTTCACCACTAAACAGCGGGGTTTTATTTTATTCATGTTTATTAGGGTCTCCGGTCACGGGGGATTATTTGTTTGCAAGTTATAAGCTGTTGGAAATTTGTGTGAATTGGACTTGCAAATTGGTTCGTGTTTAACCATGCGTATTTGTGTATTTATACTGAGTAAGCAGTTGTTGGATTAGGATTGGTGGGGTTTAATGGTAATATGTAGTTATTTATAGTTACAAAAATATTACATTTATTGAGTAAGTATGAGTTACTAAATATGTTTACAACTATGTTGTTGAGAATTATAAAAGCCTAAAGACCCCACGATGTTAAATTCGGTTACAGTAAAGTGAGTTCCAGTTGCAGATCTGCTTCGAGCTATTTATACTCCACAATTCATCTGTATAATATCGCTTTCTCACGCTTTCCCGTCTTTGTAAATATGTTCCCAATTTTGCTAATTTCTAAAGTAGGTACCCGGTTAGACAGGTAGAATTAGCTTTTTCGGTCCAGAAAATTCCTGTTGAATCAACTATCAAGGACTGAATGTACTAAAAATTTTAACAAAATATTGTCAACTGCTTCAGGCTAATGCTAATGCCTTAAGCATTCTCTGCTAGTCGAGATCTATCTCTGCAAGAGTCGTGTCGAGCCAAGCCGAGTCTCTGCAAGTCCACTCATGTTGCATATTTGTGCAAAAAGTTATAAATTAAAATAAATAAATAAATGAGTGAAGTAAATTTATAAATACAATTTTAACATTGATCAATCAATTTTTATTTCTTTTCGTTTTTTCCCCGTAATCAGCGTCCTCAAATACGTATAACATCATAAAAGCACCCTTAATCATCATTTTACAAACAAACGTATATTTATCAAATATTCAGAAAATTTGGATATTTGTAGTTAAACTCCTCCTTACTACATAGGTTTCAAAATTATGATGTCATTATGGTGCCAAAATATGCCAATCGTTTCAAAAAAGGACACTTTTTACAAAATTCGATAGTTTACAAAAAGTTTACAATATTTTGACCTGAAAATTTACCTGTAATTACAAAACTACAACACTGACAACATATCCAAATTTCAACTCTCTGCCACTCTCCCAACTCGAATTATCAATTTTCAGAGTTTTGCAAAAAAAATATTGCAAATTTCGTGCCATCTGATGGTATGTTTTTGCTTTCCATGGGCTTATTCTCTTTGTTATTTCATTGCGCACATTTGATTTATTGTATTGTATTGATGTATTGAGCGTTAGTTTTTTTTTTTTTACGATTTTTGACATTTTTTGGCACCTTAGCTGACAATATTTTGTTATAATTTTTATTGCCATCAATTCCTGATAGTTAGATCTTTAATAAACATTTTTTCGCTCCAAAGTTATTAGGGTAAATCGAAGTTAAAAATATACATTTCTTTTGGTTATAGGAATGTTCGCCTACAGGTTGAAATCGGACAGACATCTTAAATTTTGTTTTACCTAACAATAAAAGGGCACAACATATAACATATGACATAATAACATATAATATAATAACATATATTATATTGTGGCAACAGAGAAAACTGATGTTATTTTGTAATTTTTTATTTTAGATTCAGTCCAATTTTCACTGTATTGGTTGCTGTATGTTGTCTTAATGCGTTTTGCAAAGACATTCATTCATAATAATATTTATTGTCGCTTTACAGAACTAGTCCCTCTGAAGATATTTTAAATATAATATCCAAAAACCCTACAATACCTAAATAAAATCGAATTCTGTTACCAGCAACATTTTTGTACCTTTTTGTATGTTCAAACATCCAAAGACTTTGTCTACCCGAAATTAATAGAAAATACGCAAAACCTAAGAACCTTTATCCTTTATCACACTCCATCTTGCGAAGGCCACAATATCGATTATATTTTTACGATGCTCACATATATAACTACATATTTCGCTAGAAAGTATTAGTGTAACTTTTACCTTGTACCCATTAAATTGGTTTTGTAGGTGTATAAAGACTTGAATGTTTGAAGTGGTTTAAGCGGGCACTTCACTGTTTCCTATTGCGCTGACTTAGTGTGATCCACGAATTGTCGTTGTGTTTGGATGTTCTTTGTGTCCGTTTCCAAGTATGTTTGTAAAGTCCCCCACAACACAGGTTTTCTTTATGTACATAGGATAAAGGATAGTTCTGTAAAAACTAGTATCATCAATCATGATCTTCTCCTGAGAAAGGTGGTTTTGACCAGTAATAGCAGTGGTAGTAGTAGCAGTAGTAGTAGGCCAAAAACTAGTAAGTATAAAATTGAATAACTTGATACAACATATTAATACTTTATGTCGCAATCATTAAATTTAATATTTCAACAATTAACAAACCTAAAAGTAATCATGATTTTAATTTTCCGAAGTTACATTAATACTAAGTTCTTAAAAAATTGATAAATAATTTATTTTACTAATACTATTATGCAATAAGCGGACTTAAACTAGCTCCTATCAAAGTTTACAATACATATATAAAAGCAACCGTATACCGTACCATATCAGTAAGTAACAACAGTTAGCAACCATACCGTATTAATTAGTGGTGATGTTCTACAATAACCATTATCTGATTACACTCTAATAGTGACTAGTTTAAATTAAGCAGACTAAAACTACAATGATTTCAGTCAGCACAGAGCGAGCGATATTCGGAGAAATTGTTACACTATTTAGTAAAACGTAAATACATTGATTTATATTTTCAACACGATCTTATTTCCTCAACTTGTCAATAGGCACGTTCAAATCTTGTTAGTTCACTTTAATATACTTATGTCATTTCGAAATGAAATTCTAAACGTATACGTAGTTTGTATGACGAACCTATAATTTTGTCTTTGACGAGTTCCACAGATTGGGATTGGATCAGTAAAGATTCTTCATAACCGCGACCACCAATGAGTCAAATCTTTTATATTTTTTAATTTGGGTCTTTTTTTGAGCGTATTTTTTTTTCTATTTTTTATTCCATTCCAAAAGATTTTTTCTATTCTAGGAGAATGCGTTATCCCTGCAAGCATCAAGCAATTTAAGCTCATACCGATTGTCGATATTCACAAGAAATGAGTATCAAACTAATATTGTTTCAAACGACCTTTCAGATATTGTCATTTCAATTTTATTTTCATTTCTTCTATGTCTGGGTGTACTTTTATTATAATAAGTATGTATTTAAAAATATATAAGTATGATTATCAGCAGTCTGGTTACCATAGCACAGGCTCTGCCTAGTTTGGGATCAAACGGTCTTGTGTGAGATGTGTGAAAATATTATTATATAAATCTGACATTAAAAAACAAACTACAAAACACTCTAGCGCACAATACATTGCCAACGAACTCAAATCTCATATTGCAATACCAACTTTCAACGCCAGACTGAACAAATCTATGGCAATTAGAGCCACCTCGGGACACTAAAAGTGTCGTTGACGTGGAACTTAAAGCTATTTGCATAACGACCATGACCCAGCCAAAAATTAGACCAATTACTATCAGTATTCGGAATAGAAGCGGAAGAGTTATTATTTAAACATTTTCACAGGATATTTTGGTATTAAATGTTTTTTATTTGCAGTGTTTTTTGATGAAGAATATTTTTACTGCATAAATGCCTGTTGCAGTGAAAATGGAAACAATAAAATTACCTGTTCTCTTTTACCATATTTCACTACATACTTTTCTGGCACTCATCTGGTATGTAGACAGCTATGAGAATAGCTACTTATTTATTCCCTTTCTTGTCACTTTACTGTTTATTTTGTTTTACAACATGTTGGAAAACAATCGAAACCAGCTTTATCTGTTACTTTACCTCGCGGCCATAGTGGTAATAGTGGAATATTTTTTTTATAAATGCATATTAACAAATGCCGAAGTAAAGTTACTCAACAAACAAACTATTGAAATTATAACCAGATACAATTTAAAAGACTGTTGAAGTGTTTGTTGTTTTGTTGACAAACTAAAAAGGTTACATTACCTAAAAACGTTTCTTGCACAATTAAAGAAAAAAGCACACCAATGAGACACTACGTCTGAATGTTTTGAGAATAACAGAATTGTAAATATACTACTCAATAAGCTTCAGCCTACAAAGCTTTGTCATGACTTATTTTCTAAAGAAG